AAATTTTTTAATGCATATACTCTCTCAATAACATTTTCATCTTGAACTAGGGATGCATGACACATGCATGCTGTGGCGGAGCCCGACAATTTCTGTTGTGGGATAAAAATTTTAAATGCAATTTTTTTTAAAAAAAAAGATACATAATATTAATGAAAATAACTCTACACACACTATAATTGTAGCCCATGTGTTTTCATACTTTATAAGTATAAATATTGTCATATATATATCGTTCACCAAACCATTGATCTTCTATCAGATTATACACTTGATTCTTGACAATCTTCATTTCTTTTTGACTATGTAATACAGTCTAAGAATAGAAAATCACATAGGAGAACTAATGACAAAACCATAAAAACCATTAAAGCCTACACTCTTTACCTTGTGCCTAGCCACACTAGGGGGACACAAATCTAAGAACCCTAAGTTAAATGACAAGATTTATTCACACTATATAATCGCCAAATAGTTGGCTTTCAATAATAGCATACATTAGGTGGTAGAGAAACCGCTTGTATTCAAAACTAAATGGAAGAAAGTTCAATGATCATAACTGATAAGTGTGATTTTGTGCACTTAGTCGGTCCTTAGTACTAAGCTTTGCGTCATTTTAGTATTGAATTTTACTTTATTCGGTCCGTATTATTAAGCTTTTACAATTTTGTACAAATTTTTGGAACCAATTTTCCAAATTGATCTTGGAACTTTTTGCAATGCATTTTTTTTTTAATTATCTTTTTTGATAATTTCTCATCTTGTTGACTTCTCTTCAACTCCAATTGACTTTTGGCGTTCTTGAATCACCATCTCGCAATGTAGCACAACTTTTGAATTATTAAATTTTAATCCCCATAGTTTTTATTTCGCCATTTTTCTCTTGTTTTCTCCAATTTTTCATCAAATCATGAGTTTTACCTATTAGACATAATATAACACGAATTATACTATATTTCATCAAAAGAAATACAAATGCCATTATTTAGAGCTCAAATAAGTGTGTAAAATATGCTTATCAAACCTTCAAACTTGAACATTTGTTTGTTCTCAAACAAAATTATAACCTAACTTAAAATAAACACGCAAGCAAGAAAAAATATTTAGCTAGCTAACTTGACATTTTATCTCCAAATTGAAATCATGATATTAAACTTAAGCACAGCTTCAAGATCATAATAAAGAAATCAAAGTCTATTTTCCAATGCAAAGTCGACGTGTGTGTGTGAAGAATTAAGAATAGCATCATGAATTCAAAAGTTTTTCCATTCCCGATCCTTGATAGTCAAATATGTTCTTATCTTCACTTGTGAGATTCAAATACCTCCAAACTTTTTCTTTTCACTCTTTTCAAGTGTGTAATCTAAAGTTAATTTTTATACAATCCCCACCTCTCTAGTTTCGAAGAATCTTACCAATTGCATATTAACATGCCAATAGACAAGGATTTTCCTT